GGAATGAACCTAGGCTCAAAGGTACGTGTCTGTGGGTACCTAGTCCTGATGTTCCTACATGATTGATGACTCTGTTCCCTCGGAACATTCTTACCCTTACTTGGACTCCTAACAGCATTAGACTTAGAGGCAGCCACGAAGACAGTCTTAGATGGTCCAGCGATAGTTGTATTACCCTCAACATATCCTAGACCTCTCTTATCTCCCACTGGCTTATTCATTCCCAACAGGTTATCTAATTTCTTAGTTCCACTTATGAATGTCTGAAGATGAGCATTAGATTTCTCCAATTCACTAGTCAAACTCTTAACCTTGTCTTCCAATTTCTCATTGACACACTTTAACTCACTACCACTCTTAAGTGAATCCTGAAGCTTACTACCCTGTTTCTCTTTTTCCCTTTCAAGTTCGTCAACCTTTTTAAGTAGGGCTTTATTGACCTTCTTTATTTTAAGACTCTCCTTAAACAACAGTTGATAAGCTTCTTGTAAGTCTATGTCATCCTCATCCTCATCCTCATCCTCATTACCAGAATTATCGTTTGAATGTTTTTCCTCAACCTTGTCACTTTCCTTATCAGATTCACTCTTAACAGTAGCCACAAATGCTATATAATTTCCTTCGTCATCACTACTAGAGGATTCCTGCCTATCACCGGTCTCAGATTCATTATCAGTAAGTGATACAACTAAGGCCCTATCTTTCCCTTTTCTTTGATTTTTCTTATAGCTAGGACACTCATTCCTATAGTGACCTATTCCTTGACACTCATGACATCTAACCAAACGTGGCTTCTCACTTGACCCTTTATTGTTAACTTTCTCAATTTTATCTTTTGTGAATCTGCTAGGGGCTCCACTCTTTCTATCCTGAGGCTTTCTCCTATTTTTGAGGACTTTTTGAAATTTCTTAACAAAGTATGCGATTTCCTCATCCCTAAGCGACTCAGTATCAGAAGATTCATCTTCTTTAATGGATTTTAGGGCTATGGACTTTCCTTTCTTATGTTGTGAGATAGTGAGTTCATAGGTTTGCAAGGATCCTACCAATTCTTCGATCTTAACTTCATCTAGGTCCTTACTTTCCTCAATGGCAGTGACTTTAGGCCAAAATCTCTCAGGCAGAGATCTAAGTACTTTTCTCACAATCTTAGTCTCTGGAATTCTCTCACCTAGGTTGAAACTAGAGTTAACTATATCATTTAGTTTAGCGTAAAACTCATCAAAGGTTTCATCATCTTTCATCCTCACTTCTTCAAACCTAGAGGCTAGCATTTGCAATTTTGAGTTCTTTACTATCTTAGTTCCCTCATGTGTAGTTTTGAGAATGTCCCAAACCTCTTTAGCAGTTTTGCACATAGACACTCTCCTAAACTCTTCTGGAGATAGAGCCATGAATAATGCATGAATTCCCTTACTATTCCAATTACATGCAGCTAATTCATCTTTAGTCCACAGTGATATGTCAGTAAGGTTAATTGTTCCTGATACGGTAGTAGATGGAGGTTTCCAACCATTTTGAACGCTAATCCAAACATGCTCATCTAAGGACTTAAGGAACGCACGCATTCTAACCTTCCAATATGCATAATTACTTCCGTCGAAAAATGGAGGTACAGACAGTGATTGACTCATCTAGACAACTATGGGTCAGGACTCGAGATTAGGCTCTGATACCACTTGAAAAACCTATCGTTCGACCCAACTAACACCTAGAGGGAGGGGGGTGAATAGGGGTTCTTGCGGAATTAAAAACTTTTGAATAATTCATGCAACAAGTCACACAAATTATAATTTGTCCAGATTAATTCACGTGCTTTATCTACCTATGTTGGATTACCATTGACAAGTAAATAAATTAAAGCGGTAAAAACACAATAAACATGTTGACGGAGAA